GCTATTCTAGCATTTTCTTTTCATTGTTAAAAGTAACTAACATAGTTGATGGCGTATGAGATGCGATTTCTTTTTTCTAAATATTCTTCCAAAATGATCACTCGGAACAGATTAGAAAAGGTTATATTAACGTCGTAGTCTAGAATCTTAGATTATTTTGTGTCTTTTCGACTAATGTACATCAAAAGCGATCCCCATAAGAAACTCACGGTATCCGGGCAATGCCGTTAATTTCACGAGGATATACAGGAAACTAGACGAGAAGAGATCATTGTTGAAAGAATTTGTGAAATCATTCTGTTGGAAGTTTGTTCCACAAAGCAGCAATTCTTGCGAAGGTGTTGTCTGAATTAAATTTTCTCTTTACTATTGGATTCCAGAAGGAATTACGATGATTCGTCTTTGAGTACATAGCATGCCGGGTCGCAGTTGCAAAGGTTAAGGTTGCTGTTACCAATGAAGGCAGCTCATCATAATTCCCACCATGGAAATAGCGATATAATAAAGAGACTCGCGATATTTTCTTCTGTGAAAAATGGGTGGTAGAGAAGAAAATAGTTGATTATCCACAAGGCTATGTGTACCTTATGAACTCTAAAAACAGACAAAAGGTGACTGGCTATATATGGCAGTAATACCCCAATTTTGGTCTGAGCTAGTGTTTAGAAGAATATGTCAGATACTTAATGGAGCGATACAAGGAACTGAGCATTTTCACAGAATCATTAAGCATAGATCTCTATCTATAAAAGACAGGATGTGTGTGTGTGTGTGTGTGTGTGTGTGTGTGTGTGTGTGTGTAACGAATGCAAGGCTGCAATTTTCGACGGATTTGCACCAAAATTTACATGCACATGCTCCAAGTTAGCGGGAAGTCCAAGACCGTCTCTGCCTTTCGCAACCACCATCGATAGTGGAAATAATCGATGTTTCATGCTTCTACGGCAGTTTTCATGTAGTTTGCGGCTATTTTCTACTGACCAGCGTGAGAGCCTATAGCTGGCTGCCACGAATAGGCAGGAAGATTCTATTGGCCAGCGTGAGAGCCAACAGCTGACTGATACGAATGTCAACTAGCACGCTACCATGCAAAAAAAAAATCGATAGCTGCATTAGTCACAAGTGGGAAAAATTTAAATCTGCATGGCACTTTACTCCAATTGGCTCATTCGCTTGCTTAAACTCAACGTTGATTCTGATTCCGCAGAACTGGGTTGGGGGTGAAAAAGTATTTGTTGTTAACATTCTTTTTTCATTCGGTTTTTCCATTTACGAGTCCTTTTTTTAAAGCTGATCTTTTTGTGTTCATTTTGTTTAGTTCTTTTTTCGTAATAGATTTAATGTTTAGTATAGAGCTTAGAAAAAATTCGCAGTGTGAGATAGGCAAGAAGGAAGGCATGTAACAACATCAGCACGGCAAAGGGCACTCCTTTAAAGGCAAGAAAGGGCAAAAATATTTTATGTCAAGTGATAGTGATTGCTGTATGAGTCGTACGATTTTTGAATCAAGCACGGGCAACGCCGGGCCATGCTGCTAGTTGTATATATGAGTTCCAGCTGAGGTCTGGAGTGAGTTTGAATTCGAATAGACATTCAAAGCAAAAAGTATCCTTAAGGGAACACCCATCCATCTTGATAATTGAAAGTTGAGGTTAAGGTGGTTGAGCGTTACTACCGTATCCTTTTAAGAGTATGTTCAACACACACCCACCTTTTAAGTAAATTTTTAACACTTAATCCTCACTCTTCGTTGTTTATCTACCATCCGTTGATGCAATTCAGAAAGATATCCTACTTCTATCGCTTTCAATATGTGCTTTGATGTTTTAAATTCCCTTGACATAGATTCCTCACTACGTATGAAGGAAGGTTGAAAAATGGCACCTCATAACCAGCAGTTTCCGGTAAATGGTACTCGGCAGCCCAGGAAGGCAGTTAATCTAAGGTTATGAAAACCCTGATTGTAAATCTCCGCTGACTTTCAGTCATATCCAAAACACGGAAAAGTCTATGGAATTAAATGAAGACAGAAGGCTGAAAACTGGCGCCTCATAGCCAGCTTCTTCCGAAGGCGGTTGGCTGTCAACCCTGATAAATTTCCAGCAAATCCCACAGCCAAGCCGTCTTCAAATCTAATGTCCTGTATTCTTTCGCCTATTGTCGATACGGTCGAGAGGCGAGACGTGTAATCTAGGCAGCATATAACCTCAATATACCATCGCATATGCCTTCGCCCTGAAGCGGTTACTTTCATTACCAAAGGACTGAATTTTGACCAAACAGGTCGCATTCTCTCTCTCCATATATATATTATTTCTCACCAATACCACAACGCAATCGTCAGGTACTGAATATAGACTGGCACTTACGCAATTTGAATTTTAAAAATATATCAGTTTATCGTAATGTTTGGTGTCATACAGTGTACAATCCTTCCGTTATCAATTCATCCGAAAAGGGGGACAAGTTCTAAACAAGTCTTCGCTACAATAATCAAATCATAAGTGTGGGTACTTTCGTGATTCAGTTCGAAAATAAAATTGGTCAGCCCTCATACGTCTAGATCGACAGGAGCATCCACTACACAGACGCGCGCGCGCGAGCACGCACGCACACACACACACACACACACACACACATATATATATATATATAGCACATCATATCATATCTTTAACGTTATTTTTAGTGGATACCCATATTTCATTCAATTCTCCATTTATTTATTATATAGTATATTTATTTTCTTTTTTCTGATCTGAATATTAATAAAGAAAATATGCAGTCTTTGTCAGAATTCGAACCTGCTTCCCCCAGGCCAGGAGTAACCATCTTTAAATCCGATGTGGTTTAGCGGTTTTTAAGCGTTCCGGCCACCAAATACGCAAATGATCGACTTCCGAGAGTCCGAGAAACATTTGCGTTTATAAGGGATTATTTGCGCGCTGGTGTGTGTATCAAAATAGGAAAAAAAAGTTTATTTGTTAGGCTTTTCATTCTTTTGGCTTTCATCACATTAGTCCGGTTTTTCTTGATATATGAAAAAATGGTATTTTCCGATTTTGTGTTCGTAAAATTGACTTTATTTAAATCAGAGTTAGTTTTTGTTTAAAAGTAGTTCCATAAACATTTCTGCTGTTCCTAGATTCATTGTGAATCCGAAGAATATACTTTTTGCGTCGCTCGTAATAAGGAAAAGCTTACCATCTAGACAACAGCTCGATTTTTGCCGGATTCATGACTTGTATTAAACTTTTGATCCCTTAATTCCTGAAAACTTTTAACCATTCTGCTTGAGCTTCAGTGTCAAAATTCGCAAATAAGTGGTATGTAGATATAAAAATAGTTACCTGTGTTTACCCACCGTTCAACCGGTGACTGGGCATTATGTCATTTTTCTCTACCACCGGTGAAGCGGATGTCATGGCTCAGCGGGTTAAGTGGCCTACTCGCCGTTGATTGATTAAAAATCGTCTTATGTGTCAAAAGGTTCAGCTAAATAACTCGGAATTTTCCCGCTTTTTTTACTAACTGTTGTAATGATTTATTTACTGAAATAAACTATTTTTAGTTCGCTTTGAAATTGTTTTGATTTTAAGAAAGTAAAATAAGAAAGTATAACTAAAATTAACTAGAAATGTATATATTGTTTTTCCATTTATATTTATTTGTATATATATATATATGTGTGTGTGTGTGTGTGTGTGTGTGTGTGTGTGTAGGTTTATCTAATTAATCCTTATTTTTAGTGGATACACATATTTGAATTAACATTCTATTTATTAATTAAACAGTATATTCATTGTATGTTTTTTCTTTAATGTGATTTCTCGAATATTCCAACATAAATAAATATCAGTCAGTTAGGTGCCATGATTGATAGGCGCTTAGGCGATCATGTATCTTTCGATCCATGAGTGACGAGGCAGATTTTTTTTTCTCGCAGTAAGCTGCCATTTTTTTCTGTGGTAGACCAGTTGCCATCCCAGGTTATAGAACCTGCTGGGGGTGAAAAGAGAATTAATACCTATATTATCTCGTAAGTGAATTTAATTGATTCGACTGGAATTCAATGCGAGCCGCTATCCATTACTCCACCGTGCCTCAATTACATTCACTTACGTTCTAATACCCTTGAGAAAGGTATGAATCCTCTTCTTCTCCCTCCAACTATGGGTAAATAGCAAGACAGACCGGGTTCTATAGCTTTGGATGACAACTGGTCTACCGCAGAAAGAAATGGCAAGCTAATGGGGGAAAAAAATCTATCTTGTGAAATATGTATGGCAGATAACTGAATGATAAATATACTGCTTAATAAATATAGTTTTTAATATATAAATGGAATGTCTATTCAAAAATGAATAAAGCGATAAAAATGTGCCGGATTATTAAAAGAAATATCTGCCGGATTATTGAAGTGATAAAAATCCAATACCTTAGAAAAAATATATACATATAGTGAGAAGTATTCAATATCAAGTAGAGAGGATTTATAGGGCGTTATATTAGAATGAATGTGTATAGTTGTCGACTCGTGTTCGAGGATACACGTCTACTAGGGCGACTAGTCAATCCTTACTGCAAACGCTACGAGCTCATATTAGAATGAACAATACCAAGAAAAATACGTGCTTCACGTTAAGAAGAATGGTGGATTCTTAATTTAACTCTGTCGTAATATACATTAGATTTAATCTGATTTCAACGCAGTAGGTTGGTTGATTATTTTAGCAACATATCAAAATCCTTGGGTCATTTAATGCCGAAATTTAAATATTTTGTACGCAGTTTTATTTTATTTTGCGTGATAATAGTTCAGTGATACAAATCTTACTAATTAACCCATATCTGGGGGAGAAGTGGGGGATTCCTACGTTTCTCAGGGTTAATTGCGCGTAAGTGCATATAACTAAGCCTACTGGAATTGGACCTCAGATCCTCGATTAATATTTTGAAGTCATTATCCATTATACTGCCCGCATCCAGACATCATTATC